GCATTTACAGCAATAGTGTAGTTTTGAGACTGAAAGTAGGCTAAATGCTAGTGTTTGCACTGTTTTTAATCCTGTACATAAGCACTGATAGATGCAGTAGGATTTGTGCTGTGTGTGAACTTCACTGTTTTGAATAAATTGTACAAAGAAGATATCATATGTAGCAATTTCACTGCCTGTATTCCAGATTGTACAACAGGAAGTATTCTGGATTAGTAGTACTATATTAAAATTAAATGCTTGGGTTTTAACTTGTTTTTTGTTAAAAAGTTTAGGTTAAGCTAGACTTAAATTTTTTTATAGACTCAACTTTACAGAAACCCTTATTTTTAGATTGTTCTCAGTGCTGGAATACTTCTGGGGAGGAAGTAGAAGTGCTTCTCCTTCAGTACTTGCAGGAAAAAAAAAAGAGCTTGTTTTAAGTAATTATCAAAATTTCACAGGGTACAGAATGTTTGAATTTGAATAGGTCCACTATGAAATTTACTGACAACACCAAGTATTTTGTCACTGTTAAGACTTTATGTTGTTCTCAGAACAACCAGCTTCTCATTTCCATTACAGTTCTGTGCCTTTAAGAAAATGATTACAGCGTATGGAGCATGAATAATTTTAAAACAAGGCATCTGTAGTTTTTTAAGAGGATAGATCCTGCAAACCCAGTTCTCTGACTCACTGCCCACAGTGAGAAAAACTTACTGTGCAAATTTTTTTCAGCATGCTTGAGCAAAATTACTAAATTAGCTATATGGGCCATTTATATCTTACTGATTGGCTACATACTATTGTTATGCAGGAAAAGTATACAAAACTGCAATGTTAAGAGCTCTCAGCAAATATTTCTTGGCTATACTTAATTAAGTAACTGTACTACGTCTGCATGGCACTGCAGTATGTGGAATCCTGAGGAGCAGTTTAGCTGGGTTTGCAAAGCACTTTAACATTAAAAAGCAAAAGAGACTCCACAAATTTTGTTCACGAGTTTTGGCATGCTATACTGCTGTATGCATTCCAGGGCCTAGGCTGGCTCAGGTATTGCTGGCCAGAGATACCACCGTTCTGTGCAGCACTGCATGCCTCACGGGAAACAGGGAGCCAGTTTTACATTCCATGGCTCATGAATGAAGGGTTATGTCTTCCTCTTGTTTGTTTAAAGTTCAAGAACTTGATCTATTTTCCTCACTGGCATGTGCTAATTAAGTAGAAAGTATGTACAGCTAATAGGGTTAAAACCATGTAAAGTTACAGATTTTACACAATTTCCATTATGTTATCTTGAAGGAAGTTTGGGTAACTCAACCCTTCAATTTTAGTAAACAAAATCTGTAACTATCTATAATATCTGTACTAAATGCTATACTAAAGATTGTGATTGTTATTCACTGATTCAGAAATTGAAGCATACTATTTAAGAGACTATGACTAAGTTCACATTTTCTTCTATACTGTAATTCTTCTCAGTAAAATTAAATTACTTTATGTATAAACTTACTGAAGTACTGAAGTATGAATATAAACATTGATCAGCGTGAAATACAAAGCCTGTGCTGGTGGTGCAGGTTATTCTTTCACTGCAGAGTGTTTAAATGTTGCCTTAAGCCAGTCAGCAGCACTGATTACACATAATGCCAGGAAAAGAAGTATTTTTTAAAGTCAGTTTTAAAGGTGCACAAGGGGCCCACCAAACACAAATGAAAGAAAAAAAAATGTTTTGGATGTACTGGAGAAAGGAAGCACTTGAACTTCAGTGCTTTATTTATGAAACAGCATTTTTTTTTCTTTATCTATATAACCTGTTACTAAACGCACTGGATGCATGGAAATGGTTTCATAGGTGCCTTTCCATTTTTATAAAGTGTTCATTGAAGCTGTAGTGGGTTTTTAGCAAGTACTAATGTTCTTGAGCTCAGCTAAAACCTATGATCAAATCTGTGGTGAGTTCTTAACAACTTTTCATGTCCCTGGTATGGGAACTTTCCTGATGGTGTCATACTATTTACCTCAACAACATATTGTGGAGAAAGTCACTATAGTACCTTTAGGCAAACCCATGCATCAGTAAGATGACAAGGTATGGTAAAGCAACCCCCAAAGCAAAGAAACAGCATTAGAAATTTATTCAGAATATAAGAACATTTGTAAAATAAGTATTATAAATGGCTCTGTATAAATAAATGCAGTTTTTACAATTCTACATCAAATAAACATAAAATAGTTATTTTACAGCAGCTAAGAAACTAAAAAGCAGGAACACATTTAAAGCTAATTCAGTAAGGTGAAATATTTCTAGAATTACCATATTATGGTACAGTATTAAAGAAGGAGAAAATACAAATAAAACCAGTAGAACAATAGTGACATTAATACAAACTTAGTAACATGTGCTTTGCAATAGCTAACAGTACATTCAAGCTGGCGAAGACTTACGCATTTAATTAGGAAAAAAGTACTTGTTTTCTGAACACACTGTGAAATACAAAATCTCATGCACTTTGGTGACTTAGAAAATTAAATAATACACCCTAAGATAATTAATGAGTGAACAACTTAGGTTCTGCTGGCAAAAAGCATCTATTTTTCTTGCTTTGCAAATATATTACTTCTGCAACAAGTGTTAAGTGGGTTGCTGTAATTCAAGGCAATTTGCACTCTTGTGTATAGATAGGCTGGTGTTTCTCAGGATTAGTGCCATTGTAACAGGTACACTGGAATTGTAGCTGATTGTTAATAACAGTTTTTGCAATAACAGTAAACCTTTTACCACTTCCCTGTTGACCTTTTCCACTATGCAAGCAAATGAAGCAGAAACTGCTTGCTTAGGCAAAATACCTGGTTGGTCTGGCAAACCATAGCTACTGCTGAGGCTGTAGACCATCAAAATCAGCCTCGCATTTTCATGCAGAAACATTATGGGAGGAAGAGGCAGTGGTTTACTTTTACTAGTGATTTCTAATTTATTTTAAAACAGTTTCAGAGCATAGCTGACAGGGAAGACACTCAGTTAATGTGGTAAAACAATGTTCAGTTGATGCAATGTTCAGTTGATGCAAAATCAGCAAATTGTTAGGCCTGAAAAAGGCACTGAGGGACACTGCAGCCTTTTAAAGCCTTTAAACCTAGATGACTTTTATACTTTCTTAATTTGTATATTTCCTTTAAAGACGGTGCAATTCAAATGCTCTAAGCTTCATGTTATTAATACCTTCTCTAGCTATGGAGAAATAGAAAATACCGAGCCTAAGGGCAAATGCAGTGCAACAGTGGTTTCTAGTCACCCTAAGTGAAAGATTTCTTGCAGATAGTCTTGAGATGACCTCAAGTTACACAGATGTTTCAGATGCAAGAATACAAAACTGCAACTACATTTTTGCTACTGTACGAAGTGGGTAAGTCTCTTTCTGTTTCTTCAAAAACAAGTATGATCAGCTACCACTGAAGCTTTCGGCAAAAACCTATATTCCTGTTGGTGAAAAACTTGCTGGCCAAAAAAGGGAAAGATAGATGCTGAGGTAAACCATAAAAGACAGTGCGCTTGCTCCCCCACCAGCTGGGCCTGCAAAAATTTCCATTTGATTTTAAATTAAGAAGTTGGAGAAAGAAGACTGATCACAACCAGTCCCAGGGCACTGCTACCTACAATGTAATTTTGAAATCAGTATTGTTTTAACTTACTATAGCAATCAATCATGTATGATGTTGGCTTTGTAGCAGATATATCAAGATTCTAGAGAAGCAGGAATTGCTACCCTAAGAAGAAAACAGCAGCTACAGTAATAAGAGATGTCACAAACACCAACAGCTACAATTTCAGAGGCAACCAACACTTAGCAATAACGCCATATTCTGAACGCAAATTTGCACAACTGTTTTGGCTGCCTGGCCTAACCCAAGAGTACACAAAACAAGTCCTCTAAAAATACTTCCTTAGTAAGAAATGCTTTCTAGTAAGAAATTAGATGAATAAATGAAAGAAGTTACTGTAACTCTAAATACACTAGTAAAACTTCATGTGCAACTCAACGTATAAAGCAAAAGGATAAACAAGTCCTGAAATCAGATCCACTTGAAAACAGAGCCTGAAAAATACAAAGTAGAGGTATAACAAAGTAGCAGGCTTTGTTGAACGGACTCTAGTTTGGCATGTTAAATCAAATGTGGAAACTGTTTTATGTACTCAGGTCAAAAAGAAGCAAATTCCGAATGAAACTGGTGCCTCTGTATTTTACTCCATAGAGAAATCCATCTGATCTACTTTCCTTGATGTTCATTACCATCCCAGGCCAACATTTTCAGTTCAGGCAGTTTGATAATACAGTAACATGACTTAAAACAATCAGCAGTAACAAAAACTAACCTAAGAAGCTGTATGAAGACTTCACCATTCACATTCTATTTGTGTCTGTATATCCATATACCTACACATTTATAGTTTTGTGCCTATGTATTCAAAATTAAATGGGTACATAACTAACAGGTACTTTTTTTGGTCAAAACTGGTATAAAAAGAAGAGATTCTACCTCTCGATAACAGAAAGCTGTAATAAGCACTATACATGTGACAAAAAAGACACAGCTTCTTAAGGAAAACCTTGGCTATAATGTAATAGCAAGAAACCCCCAACTGTTTCTCAGAGTAATTGCAAACATAATGTAATATAAATACCAGATTCCCTATAATTTCTTACCCAACCTTGGCACAGGCTATCTGGCATGGTGAAGCTCACAGCCTTTAGTTGTCTTTACAAACTGTTAAGAAAAACACTGTTAACAGTTTTCAGAGCTATAACTAGGATTTCTCGTTTGTTTCCAAACCAACAGTTTTCCTACCTTTTCTGCACTGTGAGCATCAGTGCTGCAATTACAATGTAAAAAAAAAAAAAGCCAGCTAATCATCTTCCTGCTTTGAAGCTGCATATTCAGTTGATTTAATCACAACAGCAAGTCTTGTGTACCCTCACACACTATTGCACAACTGGTTTGGCTGCCTTGAGGGTGTCTTGAGGGTACACAACACTATTGTGTTGTGTGCAGAGGGAGCACAGGGATTGTGAAAACTCAAATGGCCTCCAAACTGCCCAAATTGAAAACTCTGTTAAGAATTACTGTGTGACACTGTCACCCATGGGACACGTAAAATGGAAGAGAAGCTGTAAGAATAGAGACATAATGACACAGACAACATATATAATTATAGCATGATAATTCAGGCACTGCCATTTGACATTACAAAACAGTCCTTAAGGTTAACACATTATCCCCATAACACCTCTCTGGCATCCCAGAGAAGGTTCTTACTGTGTCAGCATTGACAGTCAGGGCTTTTAGCGTTTCAAGCTACTTAAGTCAGCCTCCAAAAGAAAAATTTGTAATGGCACTAAGCATCTTAGAAGGAGATGGATTCAAAGTGAAGTTTCATTGGTGTGTGGTCTAGAATTCTCTTCTTCTAGTAAAGCTATTCTTTGTTTGAGCATTCTTACTTGTGTTTCATGTCTCTCCACCATGGCCATCATTTGTGATTCCAATTTCTTCAGCTTATTCTGATGCTTTTTCTTTGCTTTTTCGTAAGCTCCTACCAAGTTGCTGTTAGAAATACAAGGCAATACAAGATCATTCAAAAATGGTTGTTCATAGCATGTGCTACAGAAATCCACCCCAAAACACCATCTTCAGGGAATTCCAAAGTTTGAATACTGACCATCTTTGTAAGATTTCCTAGTGCTTTAAAATGCATGAGATCCAAACTTTGGTCCAAATCCAGACCAGTGGTAATCACTGACAAGGTGTGTACTGGCCCCCAAAAGATACAGAGAAAATAAACTAGTTACTGAAAACAGTTTTAAACAGAGATCAAAGAGTGAGCCAGCTAGAGGTTGCTGGTGATGACATCCCAGAGCATGCACAGCGCCAGGACACACAGAATGGCATCTTCTGCTAATCTGTCAGCTGCTAAGTATGTTCTGTGCGTCCACTCTGACTCATCAGGAAAGCTGGAGATGGGTACTGCTCCTCACCACATGGGCTTTAAGTATGATTTATTAATGAAAACTGTACTGCGAGCAAATAGGTTTCTTGCAGGAAGGGCAGCTACACTTCATCACATTCTCAGTATATTCAAACACAGTGCCAGTAAAAACTACTGAGTGAGCAATAAAATTTAAGTGTGATTATCAAAGCCAGCTTATTAATAAAGAGACTGAAGCCAAAGAAAAGGGAGCAATTTTAAACAAAGTAACAGATTCATAATCTGAATAAATGGAGTTTTCTGTTTGTTTTAATAAACACATTTACTGGCACCTCAGTTAAGATTAACCTATGTATTTCTGTTCCTCTGTTCTTAGCTATGTACTTTCCAGCATCTTACATGGGAGGCTTATACCTCCTGCATCTCTAACTATAACCTTAAGGAGTCTACATGGGTGAAGACAAGGATCCAGAAACTGCTCATTAAAGTAGGGGAGGATTACAGTGCAGAGCATGGCAAAAAAAAAAATCAATGGCACATCCACCTGCTGGTAGACCTTTACCTGTTTGCCCGTTTAAGGTCATTAACAAATTCTGCGGACTGCTGATGTCTGATTTCACTGCTCTTGGTGAGTCTCTCCAAAGCACTCACTAACTCTTGCACTCTAGCCTTCATTTTCTTCTCCCTGGATAAGGGTGAAAGGAGAAAGAAAACTATTTTCAAAACAGAAATAACACTTCAGCTTGCAAGTACATGAATGATTGTCCTGTGCTGGGTTGACAGGCTGAAAATATGTTCCTTTCTACTACTTGGATAAAACAGGAGGTAGTTCTTACATTAAGCTTTTCCACAGGTTGATTTTTCTAACATTCACCATTTTAGAATATGGGATCAGAGTTGCAGAGAAAACAAACTTATCTGACGAATCAAGGTCTTGTATGTATCAAATTACAGTAACCACAAAGATACATAAAAACTTAAGAATACTTTAGAATACCTACTGTGTCTTGAATGAGACAGAGAACTACCAAGGGAAAATAAAACATCATGTCTAGCACACAGGAATTTCAAATAGCAGCGCAACAGGATTGTTATCTAGATCGAGTTGCTCCATCCAACCTGACCTTGAACATTCCAGGGATGGAGTAGTCACAACTTCTCTGAGCAACTTGTACCAGTGTCTCACCACCCCCAGAGCAATTTCTTTTTTTTCAGTTACTGCCTCAAATTTACACGAGTAATGTATACTGCAGTCTGTATTACAGTAGATCACTAGGCTTCTTTTAGGAGCCAGCAAGTTCAGTCTATGTGGCAGCAGCAAACAGAAAAAAATGAAGAACAAGGGAGGGGAGTACTGACAGAAAAACACAAGAAATGCAGAAGACTACAGAGCACAGCCATACTATGAGCTACACTCTTTTTCTTCTAAATGAGCCACAATACTGAAGTTTAAGATGTCAGTATAATTACCGATAACTTCCTGTGCCAAAATAGAAGTAAGGTGCACATTACAAATGCCTCTACGAAGGAAAGAGAAAGTGAAGGTGGCAGACATTCTGCAGAAGACCAAGTGTTACAGCTTAGAGTTTAAGCTGGCTTTACAAGGCACTTCCCAGCACAAGCAAGCATAGGGCATTGAGACTGGTGCTGCTTCTTTGGGAGCTCCCTGCAGCACATCTGATGACTGCCCACAGCCCAACTCATATGCAGACACGAGACTCTCCACCTCTTGTGCAAGGGTGTTGATGTGGAGATCCAGACGCCTTTCTCTGTGACCCATCCTCATAGCACAGACATCCCAGAGATAAAACCATCAGATTTGAAACTTTTAAACAGGGGGCTAAGAATGACATACAGCTGGGCTAAAGTGGGACAAAGTTAGATTTAGACTTAATTAGATTTTAGTGTTGAACCTTACACTGGGGAGCTCTGCATGTATGGAGACATTTGTCAGTGTTTCCCACTTAGAACCTCTTGCAGTGATCTGCCTTCCCCTCTTGTTTTGGTTGCAGCGCTGCAAAGTGGGTAAATTTGACTTAATTTCAGTAATAAAACTATTAGTAGCTTCCACATAAAGCCACTGAGCCCCATAGGAATGAATACCCCACAGCGTGTGAACACTGGATGAATACCCCCCTAGCTCTGCACAGATGCCCCTCGAGCTCCAGCTCGCCAGCCTGTAGTTCCCACGCTGGCCTGGCAACGGCAGCATTTTACAACCAGAGACTAGGGCAGCACATGTGGAAAGTTTCACTGCGCAAAGCTTCAGCAACAGAAGGGCTTTCACAGTCAGACATGGAAATATTCCAAGTTAGCAGTTTATCCCGGCACGCTGCAGACGCTGGCTTACTGGCCAAAGTAAGGACATAAGAGGAGCCTTGTTTGATGGAGAATCATCAGTATTCTTTATGCATTCTTTCACCAAAGGAACATATCTCAGTTTTCAAATTACGCAATGTTTTCCCTAGTGTTTAAAAACTCATTGCCATCCACCCCAAATAAAAGTTTTATTTTTATACCCTATCATAGCAATCAGAAAGACACAGCACAGTCTACAGTCAAAATGTGTTCTACAAGGAAAACAGAAAAAAAAATATTCCAGTTTTTACTTGCTAAATACAAGATGTATAAGAAAAGATCAGACCTGGCAGAAACCAGACCCATTACCTAATGTGTGTATGGCACTACTGGTATGACAGAACACTGTAGGGTATATCTAGTCCTTGTCTGCTCCCAAAGGATACCACGGCCAGAGGCTCTGGGCAAGGCTCAGCAGCAATGTGCCCAGCACTGTGACCTAAGCCTGAAGAAGTCCAGCAGAATAAGCATCCACAGTATTTGGATGGGAGGAAAAACCTAAAAATCACAAGAGGCTGTTGATTTGAGGTTGATTTAGCATCATGTGCAAGAAAAGGTATAGTTGTGAAAACACTGCACCCAGTCAACATGGGAAAAAGAACCTTGCAGAGACGCAGTTTACTGCAGCTGGAGCTCTTAACATACCTTCTCTAACAAAAGCTGTGTGGAAAAAAATACACCAGTGAAAAGACCTGGAGGAATCTGTGATACAAGTTTAGTTGTCACAGTCATCATTACTTGATAATATTACATCACCTGACTATTACAGCACCTTTCATCTGTTTTTGCACTCACACCTTTCAATCTGTCATGTTCAGCCCAAACTCCACCAAACATCAGAAGTATTTCTTACATCTGACCTGTAACATCTTGCTACTTGGCAAAGATACAGGGCCAGAGGAGAGGTAACTACCCTGGGCCTCCACAGGCTAGTTAAACAGCTTTCAGATAGTAGTTCAGAACTGCCTAGCTACATCAGTAACAGTGGGTAATCCTTCACATCTACAGATGTCTCAAATTCACATTTATACCAGTAAAACACATACATTGCCCGAGCTGACAAGATCCACATTTTTTTTTTCCTTTTCTTGACATCTTTAAGTCAGTGAAAACAGTGCTAGCTAGGGCCTAACTCCCACCTTCATCTCGGGGAAACCTGATAGCACGTGCTGAAATTCCCCAAATCTTATAAAAACAACACAGAGGGATCTACTTTTACTGTTTCTGATTTACATCTAAGTATCTTTAGATATTTAGACACAGGAAACTGGTCTGGGAAATGGAGATGCATATTTGGTTAAAGACTATCACATGCTGCAAAAAACATGTAAGGCTTTCTCTGAAGTGTGGCACTTCATTCTAGTAGCAGATGAGAGGCCTCAGAGCTGTACCTTACTTACCTTGACCAGAAAATGCTCTATCCATTCATAAAAACCCCATGCCTTATAATGCTAACCCTTCTCACTTCTCTCCATTTCCATCACTAATTATCTCAGTTTGGACAGTAAGAAATGTCCTTATTTGTGTCTCTCCAAAACTGATTGCTTAGTTGGGCAGTGAATAGGAGTAATAATGAATCCTGAGGTGCTATTTGGATTCCTTTAATGCATTACAGGGTTAGCTGTCTTTACAGGATTTCTAGTATCACTTCATTTACTCCATTGCTTTTGTAAATCAGCAGGATATGAAGAATCAGGCTTAATAAACAGAATATTTTAAAACAATAGTCCTAGTAATATGCAGCATTTTTCCTGAATGAGAATGTGTCAAAGCTGCAAACCAGGGATGGAACTGCATTTGACACAATAGCCACACAAACATATTCCCAACACAGATGCCATATGGCTCTGGCATAGTCTTCTGCTGCCAGATCGTGTTCCAGAGCCTGAAGAGGAAACGTGCACAGAATTCACACTGCTGTTATGCCCCAGGACTGTAATATGGACCAGTATGGATCCTGAGAAAGCATTTATGTGTGTATTTTGATGTGAAGAGGGAAGGAAAAGCAAGCTTTTTTAGCAGAACATGATTTCTGTGAGCTCACAAATCAATCGGACTGCAGAAGTCAGCACAGATTTTGCTTCCAACGTTCCCTCTTTCAACTGGGTACTGCTACTGGAGCTGTGGAGAACAACTGCAGAACCTCATTCACACAGAGAAAATGAGCACGTATTCCCAGAAAAGGGAAGAAGCTTATGATCTGAGGGCATGGCTCACTTCCAACACAAGGGTTCTCTGTTCTTGGGGCACTCGAGAAGCCTGCTGGGGAAATACCCAATTGCTCCCTTTCCAAGAAAAAGCCGAGAATAGGCCTACAGCCTACTCCAACATCTTCTAAAAACACTTCTTCATTGAAATATTTTCAGTGAAATGCCTAAACTGTTGGTAACAAAGACTTTTGTATTTGCACAATCAAAACACTCAGTGGGCAATTGCTAATGGGTTTTCAAGGGCTTTTTGTTTCAGACATACAGGATGGTTTGCACTGAAAGGCAAACAGACAGAGCCTGACATCTCTGATTTCAAGGCTACTTGTAGAGAGCAGGGAATTCTGCCAGAGCTATAAAGGAAACTACCATCAGGCACATTTCTGCAGTTTCTGTCAATTTGGCATCCACACAATGACACCAGGTTTGGCCCAGAATAATGTAAGCAAGGTCTTGCGTACTTTATATTTTCCCTCCTGCCTGGGCTTTTCCAGACACATTCAGGTTTCATGTGCCAAAGCCTTCCCAGGCAGATTTTCCTGTCCTTGCTCATTCCATGACATCTCCCCAGTGCTGAGAAAGGAAGCTGCACTTCCCTGGCACACAGAAAGTGATTTTTTTCTGCCCCTGGCTTGAAACATACTTAGCTAACTGTTGTCCCTCTGCCCTGGGCTCGAGGACACCCATAGCTCTTGGTGAATCTGGAGCAAAAGAGGAATAATGAGCTTTCTCCAGAGCAGGAGGCAAGAACATTTCCCACAGCTTGGCAGAGGGGTCTTTGGGGACTATCCTACACCTTGCCATCCCTAGAAGCATCCATTTACTCACCAAGAAGCATTCATTGCCTGCTAGAAGGAAACCTCCCCAAATTCCGGCACCTCTGTCAGAGTGGCTTCAGCTCAGCATCTGTCCCTGAGTTTCACAGGCACAAAGCCCTGGTGCAGCAACAGGGCAGCCAGCCTGGGGGGAACCAAGGCCTGAGTGTTCCTGGGCACAGGTACCCAGGCAGGCTGGCTAGCGCCCAGGCATGTGGGGTTTGGGGAGAGGAAGGAGAAGAAGTATCTCTAGCATGTCCCCTGGCTTTCTGCATGGTCCCTGCTTTGAACAAGAGGCACACACCTTCCATCCCACACTTCGCTCCTAGTCCCTTCCCTATTACGCTCTTCTTGTTTTAAACCTAGCATGTTCTCCCACTCCCTTCTCCCCTTTTTCCTGTTCCAGCTGAACAGGGTGACACATGATTTGTTTTTTCTAGGCATTTGACTCCTCTCAGAAGAGAACAGCTGGACAGTTAAAAGGAATTCAGTTACATTGGTTTGAGCTAACATCTTACTTCAGGCTGGTATGCAGAATCTCAGAGACAATCTGAATGCATACCTGCCTCACTAGTGCAGCTTGGCCTGCTACAGAAAACAACTGGTATTTAATTGAACTTTTTATAAGAGACAGCAAAACAACACTATGCAAACGCCAAGAATCTTAAAATCATCCTCTTCAAATTTCCCTGTCTCTCGTTGTCAGCAGTGGGCTTGAGATCACCTGTGCTTCCTGCTGCTTGTGCAAAGGTAGCCTTTTCTGACCACAGAGAATATGGAGAGAGATTTAAAACAATGCCTTGCTGGTGTAATGTACTGCTTTTTTGCTGACTGTCAAATGCTTAGAGCAGATCTAAAAAACCCAGAAGGTACCACAGAAATGTAGCACGCAGACAGCGAGGTACAGTCCTGGAAACAACAGACTGGCAGCAAAAAGTAAGAAGAAGCCTGGAGGAAGGCAGCAGCGTGCCTGCATCTCTCACTGCTCAAACCTCCCGCCAGCTTTCCGAGCCCAGCCTGAAAGCTCTCCAGACCTGCAGCTATTTGGAGCTCCTTGTGATGACTATATTCAAGTGCACAGCAGCTCAGTGGTGCAAAAAAACACACTGCGGTAAGGAGAACTATTTATTCCATGTAAAAAATGTAGAAAAAGAAAAATGGTTATCCTTGATGCTTACGAAAAAAAATAGCTACCCAAGGCACTTCTGAGGAATCTGTCCCTTACGTCACCGTAAGTCGTTTCTTTTCTTGCAAGATGGTTTCCCTCAGTGAGGCTCTCCAGGGGAATTTCCAGAGACAGTCCATGCCTCCTGAACACCTCAGCCAAGGGAAACCACAGCAGGAGACTGCAATGGCATAAAAAACACAGAGATCCCTGAAATTTGCCGTGACTGCAGTCCATGCCTGTCTGGCCTTCAAATGTCTCCAAGTTGCTTATTTCCCCATTTAGTGGATGTGATAACAAGAGAACAGAAATAAGCAAATGTAACTGACAAAAAGCAGGTGATAATGCACTGAAAACACTCATCAGTAGCTCCTGCATACCAAGCCCACCTCTCTCTTGTCACTTTGGTCCACTGTATGATCATTCTGTACTTTGGCTGAACAGAAAAAGGATTTTAATGATTCAATTCCTAAGAGCCATTCTGTATATGAGTCGTGTTTTTGGCACTTCTCTTCACATTTCCAAGACTTAGCCTTACTGATGGTCAAGATAGGCCTGAATTTGAGAGATGTTTCTACTTGCTCCTGGATCCTGTTATCATAAAACTAAGGGTGGTCCTGAAAATATGCCAAGCAAAGATGTCATCACATGAAGTCCATGAAGTTTAAAATAAAGGAAGGTGGCTTGATTTATCTCTGGCTGACACTGTGTCAGGCAGAAAACAGGCACTGCCATGCCCTGGCACATCCTTCTGTTGAAACTATTGCTCTCTCGAAACAAGGAGTTTGGCGCAACACAGGGTTGAAGTCTTCAGATAGGCCTAAGGACCTAAGACTGCAAAGGACATTACAGTGTCTCAGCAGACACATGAAAGGATGAATTTTCAATGTCCTATTAGAAATACCTGCAGTTTCCACTTCCAGAGAGGCAGGACCACAACACTGTGCAAAAATGTACTTTATGTTAAGAGAAAAAGAACTGTTCAAAAAAGTTTAATCCTACTGATTACCACCCTTTCCCCCCTCCATGACAACTTCCCGATTAATAGCATCACTTTCTAGGTTATCTCCTAGTTCAAAAGTTATCAAGACATGGTCAATATACAGCTGCTTTGTTGTGCTGCTAGATGGAAAGCCACCCTTTTTTGAGGGAATTCTATCTATACTGACACAACTCATGTAAACCTGCACTGCCATCAGAGATCGTAATTTTTTGCCAACTGTTGACCCAGCTGAGGTCTGAACAGTCAGTCTAGTTGCAAAGTGTTTCATCTGCCACGGTCCTTACCTAGGGGTCATAGATCCCTCCTGCCCAAATATTTTAATGCTTACAGAGGATTCTCTAAATACATGCACAAAATACAACCCTATGCAGATAGAAAAGCTATTAGCAACAAATAAAAGGAGAGCCTGCAAGGAGGACCTCAGCAATCAAAACGTCTCTAATAAGGCCCAGGGAGAGGGAAAAGTTTCAGACTTGCCAGCTTGGCCATTTTTCACAGAATGGAAGAAATTAGCAAGGAAAAAAAAAAGGAAAAGGTTAGTTCTATCACCATCATCGTTACCCTGCCAAAAGCAAAATGTTTCCTATGTGGAATTCTTACTGCCACCATCCTGCCATCTCTAATGCATCTATAACCAAGCACATGCTTACTAAGTTACAAACTCATACAAGCAACATACAGTGCTCCCTTCCCCTGCCACAGCAACACAGAACATAACAGTATGAAAAATGTCATTTTAAGCTCTTCTTCAGACTGTGTAATGTGCCTGATCTGGGGGGAATTCAACCAGATCCCCTCTTGCAACACCAGCCTCTCGTATAGTCACCGAAGTGTCAGGGCCAGGCTATGAGGCTGCTGGGAATACATTTTTGCCCTCCCACTAATAAAGTACTTCCTGCCGACATGTTTGTTTATGGATGTGTCAAACTCAAAAATCTTCATGTCCACTGAAATATTCCACCATTCCACTAAGAAAGCAAGGGAAAACAAAACTGCTGAAGACTCTGGCATAAAGTATTTATGCTTGGCTGGAACAGAATGTGCCTCTGAATGAATAACCTTAGCCTGCAATACCAGAAATTTGGTAACCTAGATGTAACTTTTACAACATTAAACTCACAGACAATTTACATTTCTACGAGTTAGCATAGGGGTGACAGAAAAGAAAAGCTATATCTGTGGGAAGCCTGTAAGATGGGTTTTAATGCTAAACACTGCTACAGGAAACCCTGGCAAAAATACCTTGTCCACACCTCACAGGAGCTGTGCTCAAGACCCACTGGCAGTAGCAATCACATTTAACACAGTTGTATTTCCATCACACAGAAAGTCTTTACTCCAAAATTTATGTACAGTTTAATCCAATTATTTTCTTCCCCATTTCTGCCTGACAAACTGTACTTGCTAGGCCCCTGGCTGGAAATCCATGCTAATCAAATTAAGGGCTAGTAGATATAGCAAAGTTGTTTTCTCTGTGGTGTCAGCAAACTAAATTTCAAGACTATACTCAAGCCTCTGGCAACTAAGGTCACTGGCATCTTCTCGAAATCCAAGGGCAAATAACAGGAACAGGAAAATGTGCAGTTTGAGTGAAGGCAGAAAGTGCCAGTGGAGATGCTCACATATTCCATATTCCCCAAACTGGGACTGGAGTGTGAGGAATATGGAATCTATGGCTCTATGCAATGTTTATGTAAATTACATTGTTGATCGGTTTTATCTGCCCACACACAAATGACAGTTTTGATTATTTTAACCACAGAATTTTGTTTCCTGCATCAAGCAAACTAAACACTCTGCAACTGCCAGACTGTTAAGCAAGTGGTATGAGATGTACTGATTTTACAGTGGTAATGATCTTACATTTCTATGTAATGCCTTTCAGGCTTAAGTGTCCTTAGGCTCATTAAGAGTTGCACCTATGAAAAAAGCACTTCAGGAATGCATCACCACAGCTGCTTAAGAGGTCATTCCACCATTAAAGAATGTGCAAACACCAAAAAGCCGAAAGACACTCTTCCCAGCCAAAATTTTGGATAGGTTCTAAATACAGTAATAACTAAATTAGGTATTAGATAGCCCTGTCCTGGGAAAGGTGGAACAAGTACTAAAAAACCTACTGAAACAGTGAGTATTTTTGTCATGAAGTTTACCACATAGCTGGTGCAGCAAAAGAGCTGTACAAGCAAGTACGAAGTTAATGTGTAACTGTACTGAAAGCTTTGGCTTAAAACCTGTACAAGCAAGTACGAAGTTAATGTGTAACTGTACTGAAAGCTTTGGCTTAAAACCTGGCTGTTGACAAAAGCAGTTTGTCAAGACATCAATCTTCTCTCTTGTGAGAAGCAAGAAGATAATGCTTCACACAACAATGTCATTTGTTAATTGAATTGTGGATTTACTTACATACTCAGGATGCAAATGCAGCATCTGAGTCATCAAAATCACTGCAGTTCCCACTCCTGTTAACTCCTACCTAGGTTCTAATCTGTGACCAACCTTCTGAACCAAAGATCACACCTCAGATCCTGTCTTCACTAGAGGTTTTCTGCATGCCCTCAAACAATCATGTCACTGTTTTGTATCTTGTGTTCTTGCCCGCATATGGACATTCTTGACAATTTGAGGGTTTCTTAGGGATTCGCTTAATCTGAATTTTATAACCTCAAGGAGAATAGAGCAGAGCACTACGTGAGGACTTTCATTAGCTGAAGAACTACAACAAAAGAGAGGGGAAGGTCAGAAGAACTTCGATCCTTTTCCTTCTTACACAAAAAACCTGTGATCACTCTTAAAATCACTCAAGGGTTAGGAGTGAAGGCTCACTCACTCACTAAACTTCACCCCGGACCTACAGAACAAGTAATGCCTCTGGCGAAGGAAGCTGCTTACCGCCTGAGTGCGTTTGTCAGTTCAGCAGTCACTTCACTCTCGTCATATGGGCTCAGCTCACCTAGTGTTAGTGTTGTTGCTGCTGCAGTACCATCACTGCCTTCCTGAGAAATGAGGAAAGGCCATCAAAGTTAAAGTTACTTACCGACTTAATGGGAAAACTCTGAAAACTTCTTAGTTTGCAGCTACTTTTAAAATGAAGGTGAAATAAACATCACAATGTCACAGAAACATGGCAAGTCTATCAACATAGTAAGAAATGGACTAAATGGATTAACACTTCACAAATCCTTCTAAATGTTTCCTAAACCACCACAGCTCACTGATCTGCAGAATTCTGCTACAGCGTGCGTTAACTGCTACTGCATTTTATTACTTTGGACACCACAGTTGGAACAAAGAAGCACTGGATCTAACAATTCAGATGATGCTTTGCCAGAAACAAAACAGAAAGACAGTTATACGCTACTTCTGAAGTTTTTTTAACACATTACTGAGGTTTTCTGGAGACACAGCACTAAACAACCAGATTAAATTTTTTCTAGGAATCACTATTTATGCAAATTCTTAATGTAAATACAGAAATCTGTTTATTTTGCATTATACTGAGGTGGCACAAATTCTTTATTCTCAAATTACAAACTGTCTGACTAGGAAAAAGAGGTTGTCATTACAATGCTCTAACTGCTTAATTGAAATGGTATTTTGCTTAGACTGTCTTTCAGTGCTCCCAGTGAACGGCAACAGGCAAAACACTACATGTTCAGCCACAGTAGCTTGTATATTTGGCAGGAATGGTTCTGTGGTGCTCCTCCCCAAAATGACCATCTTATTTTAGCCTGGCTTAACAGTATTTCTGCAAAGTTCTCATAAATTACACCACAGAAAGGATCACCTAACAACTGCAGAAGAGAGAAAAGACATACTTATAGCAAAAATAAGAGAATTATTAAAATGTTAAAGGCAGCGAGGGGTACAATAAACTGTGTTAATGTTGATTTTAGAAATTTGTTTGACTCCTGACCTTGCCCAATTTGTCTTTGCTTCCGCTGCTGGTTGAGCCGAAAGACCTCATCCTCTCTTTTTGTTCTTCCACTTCAGATTTCAAGTGCTCAATATGGATGAGGTAGGCGTGCTCCTGGGCCTCTCGAGTGCTCAGTTTCAATTCCAATGCTTTCTTTTCCTTCTCCAGCAGGTAAAGCTGTGCCTTAAGCTCTGCCATCTCCTCCTGTTGAAGAAACATTATCAGCATGCTACTTCGTGAGATTACATACCTAAAGGAAGAAGTTAAACATTCATTCACTCCTATTACTTGAGTGTTCTTTCCATGGGGAACACAATCAGCATTCAGAAGGCTTTTTATAATCACCCAGTGTATTTGTCAATGGATCAGGATATCTTGACACTGAGTATGATGAGCTGTGCTATCCTTTAATCAGCCTCAAATAACCTCACAGGCAACAGACCAGATAATCTGGTGCTGAAATCAGAGTAGAGGGATCAGAGAGGGTTGTGACAGCTGCTGAAATTTATTTGGTTGTACTCTGCCCTTCCTTCAGAGACCACTGCCCTAAAACCAGTGTCTGACTTTCTTGTCAAACAGCTCCCTAAATGCCAGATTCCAACTTCTTATTAATACCTAATAATTAAGAGTTGGTTTATCGCATTACAGTGGAATAGGTTTGAGGGACAAAGACAGCAGATGCAGATCATATATTCCTGCCTCGTAATACCAGCCTCTGTAGCAGAATGCACTAGTCAAAAAAGGGCAACTGATGTCCAGTTTTAGTTTTTCTCCTCTAGTGGTTAGAATCACACCTATACATAACAATTGTAATTCACAAAACTGCACTCACATTCTTCCCATGAATATGATCCATGGAAGATGGACATTGGTACTTTGTAGAAAGAAGCTCAATTCTGAGATCTAATTCTTGTGTGTAGTTCTTCTGCCACTCCAGTATTTATGACAAGGCTGACAACTATTGTAACATAACAGTTGCTGCTGGGACAGACTTCTGCCCTAACATCTGCTCTGACAGCATTGGTCATGAGTGCAGTGACTCTTCTTTCAGCACTTGCTTCCAGCTTCCCATGAAAAGCAGAGGATGGGTGTCCTGAACAAGAAGATTCTTTGTGTTTAACAACACTTCAGCAAAGTTTCTTCCACAAAATGTCCCAGGACAACCCATCATCCACAAAATACTAAAGAGACAGGCACAAAGAGATAAACGTAATTTACATTATGTGTTAAAAACCACTACGAATCAGAAAGACTGCCAAAAAGACTGCCCTGAATCATTTTCTCACTGTTGAGCTTGCCATGCCTTAGGTCACCTCATGGGTGAATACTGTGTTAATGCAGCCATTCTCTGTATCAGGGTTCATTTCTAGACTTGTTCACTATGCAAACATCTCTGAAAAACAGAATTTTCTTGTTGGTGGCCAGATTTTTGAAACAGAAGAAAGTATTTGAGTCACAAAACCATCACAGGTTGTCAGTTTACCTTCAAAAATAATGCTTTTGGTATTATATGCATTATTAACAAAGACTGTACAAACATGTATCTTGGCACATACTCAAACCAACTTTTTCTGTAGAAGAAAATCTACATCCCTACCAAGAATTTGATGTCTGGATTAAGCGTAAACAGTGCATAAAGGTGTAGACATTTACAATAGCATACAGTAATCCCAGGTGACAGTTGGATTATTCAGAATTACCAATCATGCAAAAAAAAAAATCCATATCCTAAATTCTTCCAAGCTTGGAA